AAATACAGATGTGTGCTACTGTGCCTGGCATAATATTTAACCACTTTCTTGTAAGACAATAAGACAGAGTTCCTAGTGAAAAAAATTAAAATCTATTTTTTAGCAATTTTGAAATATACAGCACATTATTATTAATTATAGTCGCCACACTGTACAATAGACCTTACAAACTTATTCATCCTAAATGATTCTTTGTACCCGTTGATCAATGTCTCCTCTTCCCATTTACTTCTCTCACCGCAGGTTTCTGATAACTATTATTCTTAACGCTCAAGTTTTAGAAGTATGTGAGGTGTAGATATGTCAATTAGTTTGATCTAATCACTTCACAATGTACATTTGTATCATAATAACACATTGTTCCCCACAAATACTGTGGGTCCTCAGTATCCATGGGTTCCACATTCACAGAAGGAATTTTGTGTATGTGAGTAGAGGGCAATATAGGGGATTGACCCTAGAGGTGCCTTACCAATGAGCTACTACAACAGGCAAGTTTGATGATTTTAGATTTCATTTATATATTTGATATATTTTAATTTAATTTTGTTTAAACTGTGAGGTGAGGTCTGAAGTCCCTTCCTCACAAATGATGTTGGAGTATGGGGGTGAGTAGACATGGAGCTGTTTACAGGTAGAGTCGGTTTTGTAAGATAAAAATCATTTTTGATTTTTGGTATTTTGTTTTTAGTACTGGGGACTGAACCCAGAGGCACTTTACCATTGAACTACATTCCCCAGCCCTTTTTATGTTTGATTTGGTTGGCTTTGAAGTTGCGATCCTCCTGTTTCAGCCTCCCAAATTGCTAGGATTATAGGCTACCACACCCAACATGGAAATTTTTTTTTAATCTTACATCTGTACTAAAAACATACAGAGATTTTTCTAAAAAATGCTTTAGGGGTGGCTTTTTCCCTCTTTCTTTTTCCCTTCTTCTTTCTCCTTCTTTCTTTCCTTAATATCATCTCACAGCCTGGACCTCTCTGTCCTGAATGAAAACATCCTGTAAAGGCCAAGGAAACAACCCTTTCAACCCATTTGGGGTTTCTCTAAACAATGCAGTATCAGGACTACTTACATAGCATTTAAATTGCATTAGGTATTATAAGAAATCTAGAGGTGATATAAAGTATACTGAAGGATACATGTGGTTCTTTGCAAATAAAATGCCATTTTATATATATAAAGGACTTGAGAATCTGTGGATTTTGATATCCTTGAAGTTCCTGAGAAGAATCCCCCATGGGTACTGAGAGATAACTGTATATGTGTAACTATCTGTCAATTTAAAAAAAATCAGTGCTCAACTTTATAAACAACATTTTTAGCATAAGAATATATGATAGTTAAGTAGCAACTCTTCTTTCCTCTTAACTTTGTTTGTGCCAGTCCATTCCATTTCTATGTATAAAGAAAAATAGAACTGGATGTGGTGGTGCACGCCTGTAATCTCAGTGGCTCGGGAGGCTGAGACAGGACACAAGTTCAAAACCAGCTTCAGCAACAGTGAGACCCTGTCTCAAAATAAAAACAACAAAAGGCCTGGGGATGTAGCTCAGTGATAAAGCAGCCCTGGGTTCAATCCCTGGTATCACAAAAGAGGAGAAAAAAGAAAAGCAGACTATTTTGTTCTCATATCCAAGATCTTGAACTTTGCTAATCTGACTGGTTGTGACTCAGTGATACAGTGCTCGCTTCATTTGTATTTATTCTCAGTGACTAATATGGGCATCTCTTCAACATACATACTTGGATTTTTCTAAACTTAATTTTTTTCATATTTATTTTTTAGTTGTAGTTGGACGCAATACCTTTATTTTTTTTTTATTTTTATATGGTGTTGAGGATTGAACCCAGGGCCTTGCATGTGCTAGGTGAGCACTCTACCACTAAGCCACAACCCCAGCCCTTTCTGAACTTAATTTAAAACACAGATTTGATTGCAGGGGAATGGAAATAGAGTTTATATTACCAAAATGAAGCATTTCATGATTTTTTTAATGTAAAGGATTTATCAACAAATAGGCTTATTAGGGAGTTATTAAGGGGAGAAAAAGGAAGAAAGAAAAAGTCTGCTAAAGGAACTAATGGGAAATGTATATGCATCAACCACATTTGGAAAAACAGAAAGCTGCTTGTACTCTGTTGCTGCAAGGAAGGTAAACATTCTGCATCCAGGTGCTATGAGCAGCTGTGGGTCTGCCCAGCCTCTATAGCTCTGTTCAGGACTATATGTACCAATAGTTTGAGCCCTGCTTGGTTAGACAAAAGCATCTCAGCTCGATGCAGGGCAAATTTGCAATCAACTCAAAATGGAGCTCTGATCATACAAAATCTGAGACCTCCTTTCTAATGGCCCTGACACCAGAAGCTGCACAGTAGTTCCAAGGTGAGCACTCCTGTCTTTGAATTTATTTCTTCCCCAGTCCCCAACTTCCCCTCAGTTCTGAATATTCCTGGAGACTAACTAGAATTCTGTCCACAGCTCCCAGGCTCTATGCCTAGCCCCAGCTAGGGTTAAAAATACCTTTCAGTTTGGTGACCTCACCAAGCCCTCTCTTCTGGCTTTTCCTTCCCATCTCTAGCCCCTTGGCCTTCCTTTTCCTCTGCCTCCAGTAATCAGAGGTCACACTCTCCCTCCCTCCTCCAGGTCCCATTCTGCCAGCACATCCCAGCTAGGTGTTAGAAAAGCCAGCTGATCTTGATCAATTCACACAGTGTTGTGACAGCCTTATAACCATCCCCCAACACACAGATACACAGCACACCACACACACACACACACACACACACACATCCCACCTCCCCTTCTCTGGGAACTGTAGGCAGCCGGGGAAGGGAAGCTGCCTGTTTTGATGACTTATACTCAGCAAACAAGAGCCAGTCTCAAAAGTGTAGCATTGAGCTAAACATTAGCAAGCTCATTAGCAAGTGCATTGCACTGTCCTTCCCATCTCCCCTTCTTCAATCTCACCTCAGAGTTGCACAGCCTGAAATGTTGATGCCATTGACTTCTTCATAAAGTTTTTTTAAATATATTTTTTAGTTGTAGATAGACACAATACCTTTATTTTGTTTATTTTTATGTGGTGCTAAGGATGGAACCCCGTGCCTCACATGTGCTAGACAAACACTCTACTACTGAGCCATAGCCCCAGCCCTGATAGTTGTTTTTCTGAGCTCAAAGATATGTTGTCACACACACAGGTGTCTGTTTTTTGCTCGCATCACATAGCAATCCACTCCAGGCTTTAAGAAAATCAGTGGAAACAAATTTTATCCTGTCCTGTCCAAGTTTGGAGATTTGGCCTAAATGAATCCCCAAACTCAGTGATGTCACCCAACCCCTTCCTTCAACCTGATTCAGAGTAGGGAGGTAGTCTAAAATGATTGCTTGGGAGTCAACTGTCTTGTTTCTCAGAGAATCTGGCCATTTTGTACCTTTATTTGAATTACCCATGAGAGGGAGAGGGAAGAGAGCAATACAGGAAACATGCTTAAAGAGGGAGAGGAAATTGAGGGTTTAACTCCCCAGACAAGAACAACCTTCACCTTGGGCCTCAGTTTGAGTGTTTCAACAACAAAAATGGGTTGAAAAGATTGTTTCCTTAGTCTATTCAGGATGTTTTCATTCAGGACAGAAGGGTCCAGGCTGTGAGATGATTATTAGGAAAGAAATAAGGAGAAAGAAGAAGGGAAAGCTAGGGATGTAGCTCAGTTGGTAGAGTGCTTGCCTCACATGCACAAGGCCCTGGGTTCAATCCCCAGCACCACACACCAAAAAAAAGGGGAAAAAGAAAGGGAGAGGGAGAGAAAGCCACCTGTAAAGCATGCTTAGGACTAAGTGGTCTCCTTTAGATCAAGACAATGGTGTAGTAGTGAAGAAGTAATTTTCTTAGCTTACCAAAGAAACTTCAGCAAAAATACCACATCATAAGTGGTTTGTTTATTTAACTATTGAGTCATCTAGGACTACTTCCCATCAGAATTTACTTGTTTTGTTGTTTTATTTTATTCATTTTGTTTTGGGGGGTGAGGGGACAGGGTTCTTGTGTGTGTTGCTGCTATTCTATTTTTGCTTTGTGAAAAATGAAAAAACTGCCCAAGGAGAGTCATGAATGAACAAAGGGGAAAGGAAAGAACTGGGCAGAGTCTTTTGGCTTCTCTTTATACCCCAACACCCCCAAGAGAATGAGGAGTCATTAAAGAGAGAGCCCAGAGTGAGCTGTCCTCATAAACAAAGCATTTCATCCAGGCCAGTGCACTTTGCTAGACGGCCCCTATGCTATGGTTTCCCTTAAAGAATGCAGCAAATCCATCACTAGCAAATGAAGAGAAAGAGCTGCAATTTTGAAACTGGGGAAAGAGGAAGAAAGAATGTTTGGGGATGCTTTTTATCCCAAGACTTTTTTTTTTTTTTTGCACATAGTAGGCACTCAATAAATATTACTAAAAAATGAATTCCTTTAAGCAAGGGTTACTTATCTCTTCTTTACTTACTGCAGCTGGGAACAAAAGTGGAGCCCTACCCTTATGCATAGAAATTTTCTTCTAAATTTTAGGCACTTTGAATTTGATATATCATTTCCACTTTTAAAATGAAAACTGAGTTGGACATTTGATGTCCTTTCTTCCTTATTCCTTCCTTCTTTGCTTCTCACCTCTTTCTGATATCATATCTTAGACACTTATTATCTTTTAAGAACCCACGGGTACTTAACCACTAAGCACATCCCCCAACCTTTTTTAATATTTTATTTAGAGACATGGTGTCACTGAGTTGCTTAGGGCCTTGCTAAGTTGCTGAGGCTGGTTTTGAACTTGTAATCCTCCTGTCTCAGCCTCCTGATTCACTGGAATTACAGGTTTATGCTAGTGTACCTAGTTTTTCTTCTTAATGTTTTAGGAACAACCTTTTGCTTAAAAAAAGAAGAAAAAATCATATTTGAATGTTCAATAGAAAATAAGCTGTTACCTCTTGTGTTTTTGTGTGTTCTAGAAATCCTTGTCGGAATCCTCCTGCTTCCTGTGGATTGTCACCTGATTGGCTGCAAAGATGAAAGTTTTCAACGTGGTCGGAGGCATGATCTTGTTTGCCTCTCTGTTTTCAGCCTGCTCTGGGCAAAATCCCATGACTGTCCTGTGTTCCATTGATTGGTTCATGGTCACGGTCCACCCCTTCATGTTGAACAACGATGTCTATGTACACTTCTATGAGCTGCATTTGGGCCTGGGTTGCCCTGCCAACCATGTTCAGCCACACTTCTACCAGTTTACCTACCGTGTTACTGAATGTGGCATCAGAGTCAAGGCTGTCTCTCAGGATATGGTCATCTACAGCACTGAGTTGCACTATGCTTCTAAGGGTACCTCCTCTAAGTATGTGATCCCTGTGTCATGCGCTGCCCCCCAACGGTCCCCGTGGCTCACTCTACCCTCTCCTTTGAGAACAGCCAGCGATAGTGCAGCCACAGCCAAGAATGGTGATGCGTGCTACAGCGTGTTCAGCTTGTCACAGTCCAGCGAAAGGCCCAACTGTGACTGTCCACCTTGCGTCTCTAATGAACGGCGTACCCCGGCCTCACATAACCAAGCAGAGGCTGAGGTGACCCATCCTGTGCGGTCTTCTTACTTTCTTAGTGTTTGTGAAGACTGGTGTCTTCCCTCAGATGATCTGATTGAACCCATGTAGTAAGTATGGGGTCTCTCCTGAAGATGCCATTTCTAGAATTAGTTTGTAGTATTTTCTGATATCATATAAATAAATGCCCTGTGATCCTCTTAGGAGCAATTTTGAGAAATGGCAACTCATAGTAACTTCTTGATTTTGTATTTTTATACCTTTATAAAGGAAAAAAAATAAAATTCTGGTAGCATGAAAATACCAGTTGAGTGTTTTTATTTAACAAATACTTTTATTACAAGCCAGGCACTATTTACATGGTTTACAAATATTAGTGTCTGTTCCCTCTAGGATGACTTCTCTCTTATTTAAGTTTCTCCAAGAAAGCCTTCTCCATCTGTCTCTCCATCTGTATACTCATTTTTCTTATTCTGTGTACCAGTAACATAACTTAGTGATATGCCTTTTTAGTTTGATCATTAGCTATATATCACTTTTCATGCATGCAAAGCATGTGCTATGGTTTGGATATGAAATGTACCTCCAAAGTTCCTATGTTAATAGAGGAATATTCAGAGGCAAAATGGTTGGATTGTGAAAGCTGCTACCTCATCAGCCCATCCTAGTTTGAATGGACTAATTAGTGGGTGGTAACTGTAGGCAGGTGGATCATGGCTAGAGGAGGTGGGCCACTGGGAACATGCCTTGGAAGGGTGTATCTTCCCTGCCAAGCCCTTTGGCCATGATATTCTACCTCACCTTAGGCTCAGAGCAATGGAGTTGGCCAAACATGGACTAAACCTCTGAAACCATGAGCCAAAATAAACTTTTCTTCATTTAATTTGTTCTTATGTATTTTGATCACAGTGACAAAAAGCTGATTCAGCATAGGTTGCTCTGGTGATTTTCACCAGTGGTTCTAAGAATCATACACATCACATTCCATTAGCTAAGTGGTAAGTCCCTGAAGTTCAGAGATACATATTATGCTTTAGACACAACCTGATAATACTTTGAAAGTTTTTGCCCCCCAACATAATGATCATAAAAATTTCACCAAAGTTTGGATTCCATTAGCTTTCTCACAGGCTTCAGGGGAATAAGAATAAGTAAATTGTTCAATAAATATTCATTTTTTCAGTGCTATTACATACTGGGCATGGCTCTAGACACTGAGAATATGTCATTGAGCAGAGAAAGACTCAGAAATTGAAGTCAATCACACTGCTAGTAAACAAGTAGGTAAACAAAGATAAATTCAGATAGTGACACATGCCATGGAAAGCTTTAAATAAAGAGAAGAAAACTGATGAAAGGGCCAGAGTGTGGTCAGATGAGAGTGGTCAGGCAAGGCCTCTGAAGGCTCATCATTTGAATTTTTTCTTTTCTTTTTTTTTTTTTCTTTTTTTTGCTACCAGGGATTGAACCCGGAAACACTTTACCACAGAGCTACATGCCCAGACCTTTAAAAAAAAATTGTGAGACAGGATCTCACTAAGTTGCTGAGGCTGGCCTTGAACTTCCTGCCTCAGGCTCCCAAGTTTCCGGGATTACAGGTGAATTGAATCTTGAATGAGATGAAGGAGTCAGTCCATTGATGATCTGAAGAGAAAACATTCCAGATAGCAGAGGCATTTCATTGAATCCTTACTACAACTTATGAGAGAAGTACTCTCATCACACCTATTTTAAAAATAAGAAAACTGAGCCACAGAGTGATTAAGAAACATGCACCTATTAAGAATCTGTTTTCAGGGCTGGGGCTGTAGCTCAGTGGTAGCGCACATGCCTGGTTTGTGTGAGGCACTGGGTTCGATTCTCAGCACCACGTATTAAAAAAAATAATAAAAAATAAAAAAGATCAATCAGCAACTAAAAAAATATTAAAAAAGAATCTGCTTTCATAGTATCATATTGTACATTACAAGTGCATATAATTTTGATTTGTCAATAAAAATTTTTAAAGAAACAGATGACATTTTAGCACAACATTTGCACATGTTAACGTTGGCTAAGTGCATTAGATGAGTAGATATTAGAAATGCAGTCAGGATAGTTGAAGAAACACAATGGTTCATTTTAAAATCCTGCCCCTTCTGGAGGAGATCCAGGTAATGATTCCTGAAAGCAGTGAATTCATGGAACAAGTATTTCTCGCACCTTTTCTTTGTGCCAGGCACTATGTTAGATGCCAAGGATGCAATGGAAAACAAATCTAATTGGGATGGGGAAATAGATAAGATGTCTAAGGAGCTAGAGGCTATAGAGGCTATTGCAATCCAGAGAATGGGCTTGTGCAAAATCATGAGAAACTGGGCCAAGGTCATCAGACAAAGTACAAGAAGCCCAGTCCAATACAATGGAGGCATGGTGGAGGGACAGATGATGGTGGTGAGCAATGGGGTCAGAGAAGCAACAGTAGATGAAACCGTGAAGAAGAGAAGTAGCACTTCCTGCCCCATCCTCTCCTCTGATTATAGATCATTAAACACTAAAACAGATATATGCAACTTGGCAAATAATACTAAGCACATCAGGTCTACTATGTTCGAGCTGAGATTACAGTGTGCAAGTAGAGCATTTCACAAGTACAAAGGACCATCTTTGCAGCAACACCCTGGAATTGAGTGTAGTATATCAGCCTTGCAAGACACTCAAGACAACCTTGGTCACAAGACAACCTTGGTCCCATGTGCCAGATGTGTTATTTGCAGGATCTTATTTAGTCCTGCAACAACTCTGTAAGGTAAAGTGACTTTTCTGTTTTATAAATGAGAAAACTGAGGCTCATGGAAATTAAGCTTGCACAGTGAGTAAACATCATTGGGACCCAAATCCAGGTTTTGTTAGATCCAATATATATACTTTTTGCCTCTATACTCAACACCCCCTCACACAGAAGAGAATCTTCCATGAGTACTGGAAGATCCAGGAATATTGGCTAGTTAAAAGTAGGCAGTGAGCCTGCTCTTAGAAGATGAATATAATTTAGCTAAGCAGAGAAGAGGGAGAAGAACATTCTCTATGATCATAAGCATTGAGACAGGGTGCACAAATATGCTATGTTGAGGGAGGACACTTAGGAGGCACTCGTTTCACCTAGGTGAGGAGAGATGAAGAGAGCGGACAGGGGAAGGAGTTGGAGAATAGGAAGAGAAGAAAGGAGAACTGTTTCCAATGAAGAACAACAGGACTTCATTCATTTTAGCCTACAGGAAACAGTCAAATGTCATATTCAGCTCCACTTCTGATATAAATTGAGTAGAACATGTGAATTTGGAGCATGAAAAGCTCCAGATAAGGGAGCAGAGACGTCTTCATGAAGACATAAGATTTAAATTAAGGTCAGATCCGCCTGACTGGATATATGTAAAAAGAAAAAGATTAACTCAAAGAAGTCATTTAGAGCCCTAAAGTCTCAGAAGACATGACCAGCTCTGGATTTAAATAAGGAGACTGAGGTGAGAGTAGAGGATAGGAGTGAAGATGAGTTTGAGGTGATAGTGACATTCAAGTGGATATGTCCAGAAATCTGCTTGAGAAATGGAGCTACAACTCAAATAAGGGGTAGTTACTAGAAGATTAGGCCTTGAGGGGATCATACAATGCAGGTAATTAAGACCACAGAATCAGAATTCCCAGACATTTGATCCTCCAAAGAGAATTTCAAAAAAGGTCAGAGAAGAACAGACATGAAAGAAGACAGAAGAGAAGTACCAGAGAGAAGGAAGGAGAAGTATCACTCATGAAATTCTAAGGAGTGGGACTCTAGTCTCCAGTCCAACAGACAAGCCAAGATGGGGTAAGCCTCAGATTCATAGAATTAGGAGCCTTTGAACTGGCCCTTAAATGAAAGTAGAATTTCATCAGGTGAGGATGGAGAGGAAGAGCATTCTAAGCAATGAGGACAGTAAGAACAGACATGCAAATAAATACTGTGATCAAGATTCATATTGGAGGGCTGGGGTTGTGGCTCAGTGGTAGAGTGCTTGCCTCCCATGTGTGAGGCACTGGGTTCAATTCTCAGCACCACATAAAAATAAATGAATAAATAAAGGTCCATCAACAACGAAACATATTTTAAAACATTCATATTGGAAAAAAAGAATCATATTTTTCATGAATTGACATTCATTCAGTACAATTAAGCATAATTTCAAAATTCAATAGTAATATATGCATTTTTGTCTTCAATGTCTCTTTACTCAGTAAAAGTGCATTTTGACCATTTCAGGTGCATATTTGATCTACTCAATTGTGTGCCTCTTGTATCTGATCCCTGGCTCTTATTCACTTTGTATTTCTCTTACATAGTAATTGCTGAAGATATATAGCAGGTGCTCTATCCAGTTGGCTGAATGGCTGACTAGTACTAAGAAAGGGCCTGAGAGCCTATAAGAAGGGAACAATTCTAAAAATGCGAGGATCAAAATATCTTAGAAAAAAACTGCACTTTTTTTAAAGAGATTCTCACTAAGTTGCTGAGGCTGGCTTTGAACTTGCAATAATCCTGCCTTGTCCTCCCAAGTTACTGGAATCATAAGCATGTATCACTGTGACTGGCTTTAAAAAACTGCATAATTTTAATTGACTGATTTACTTGCTTTTTGAAACACCACTTCAGAACAATGGCTCCCCTTATTGTGGTAATGTTCATTTAAGTTTAAAAAAAAATTTTCCCTGTTGTAGACAAACACAATACCTTTGTTTTATTTATTTATTTCTATGTGGTGTTGAGGATTGAACCCAGTGCCTCACACGTGCTAGGCAAGTGCCTCACCACTGAGCCACAACCCCAGCCCCATTTAATTTTTAAGGTGACATGATTTATAAATATGCATCACATAGTGTTCATCATATTTGCGATCATAATAAGAAATGTTTTTGCTATCAGAAGAAAGGAGCATCTTCACCTTTCAATCTCTGAGAAAGCCAAAACTGTCTAAAACCATTTGTTATGCTAATTGCTTGTCAAATATTTAAAAATTAGAGCCCTAATGAGGTTTCTCACCCATGAAAGGAGGCTCGAAATCATGTTCAAATTGTGTTCTTGTAGCCTAAAAATAGCAAACCAAATTAAAAAAAAAACTGCGTAAAATATATGTCAATGTTAAGGGGAAAAGTCTTTTATCCCTAAATTTGACTTCAATGTATAACCCATTTTTTAAATACTTTATTTTATTTATTTATTTTTATGTGGTGCTGGGGATCGAACCCAGTATTTCACACATGCTAGGTAAG